CCTCGATGTCAGCGCCCTCGCCGTAGTTCAGAGCGGGCGGGAGGGGGCGCTGAGGGCTCCCACGGGCGGTGTGGAGGGCGCAGGCCGCAGCGTGTTCTCGGGTGCTTCTGTGAGAGCTGACGAGTCCGACTGACTGCTGTTCGCGGGTCTGCGAGGAGAGAGGAGTTGGAAAGTTTCGCGTTTTCTCAGAAACGGTTTTGTGACTGTAGTGAGTGGTCTCGGTGACACTTTAATCCAGAACTTTGAGTGTAATCTCTCTCCAGGCTGCCCCTGCACCTGCCTCCCCTCCTTCTCACTGGGTGTGTTTTGCAGTGGGCACCCCATACTACATGTCTCCCGAGAGAATACACGAAAACGGCTACAACTTCAAGTCGGACATCTGGTCTCTGGGCTGCCTGCTGTACGAGGTAGGTCCTGTCTGTGAACTCGTGTGTCCCCTGACTTCCTCGCTGCCGGGCGTTCCCCCATCCTTACAGGAGGCACGGATGTTATCCTGGGTGGTGAGTAAGAATTAATGTTGAATTATGAGTCCATGGGCGTGGTAACTGCTTTTATAATGGAACTTAGTGACTAGACATTCCTGCACATTCACTTTCTTTAATATATTTTTAGATTACTTTCCTTTTGATGAGAATTTTACTTTTTAATTTTTTTTATGTTGACATGATGTTTTCAGCATCTTATTTATAAAAATATACGCTTGAACATCCGTGACAAAACTGGCTTATCTGAGCGTTGCAGGAGAGGGCTAATGGAATGGATTTAAAATGTGAAAGCAACAGGACAGATCTTTATCACCGTTATTTTTCCCTTTCATGTGGGGTAATTGGGCTTTAAGGATAGCAAGCAAACAGGTCATTCTTTTGATTGCATTTCCACGAGGAACAATTTGTATCGGTCCGCTCGGTGTAGTGCTCTCTGCCGGGCGACCGCTGACCATTCCCCACGGGGACACGGTGTAGACTGACCCTCCCGCACACACTGCAGGCAGCACCCAGACGGGGAGGGGGGCGTAGTGTGACCCCACATGCCTCTCACCGAGCGAGGGCACCAAAGAGGGGCTTCAGCTAGAACTGAAGAGGCATCTCTGAGGATTAAAGACTTGGAGCCAATGCTGTCATTTCAGAACCAGCCCACATCTAAGTAACTCTTGTAATAAAGTAAAATGAGGGGTGATTCACTGAGTCCCCTTCCCGTGTCAGTGTCACCAAGGAAGCCTGCGTGGGCGCGTGGGAGCCTGCGTGGGCGCGTGGAGGCCAGTGCGTCCCTTACGCCCTGTGTGTCTCTTGGCCTCTTTCTTACATGAGCTGCACACGGTGAGGCCTCCGGTTCATTGCCCACCTCTGCTCGGAAGTGGGGCTTCGAGGGTTATTTTTAACGTGAATCCTGATCGTGAATCGTTTTACTGATTGCGGGTTCACGTCCCCATTTTAAAGAGGTTATTTATTTTGGGATCACTTACTTTCTCTCCCTACTAAGTGACTAATGATTTCTTAGAAAGAAAGGGTTTTTAAACGTTCTTAACTATGTCCCTCGGATAATGTGTATCATGAAAAATGATGAGTTAGTGATGTGGCAGTTATTTTATGTATGCATGTGATATTGCTTTATCCTTGGTGATATTTTGTTAAAATCTGGCACAGTGTCAAAAAGAGCTGATTTGATTACGTGACTAATGTTGAAAGGTCACTATCATGCGGCTGCGTTTAATACCCGCTTAGATCTCAGATTCCTCCCGGCAGCGTCTGATGTGATCACAGCAACACCTTCCTTTAAAACCCCGAAAATGAGCAGCAGAGTGAGTCCCCGATGAGATTCAGTGAAAAAGAGAAAGTTCGGGGGGAAGTTTGCAGCTTCTTTAGGGCCACAGGCCCTCCGGTCAGGACTGGGCCATCCTCCGCACCTGGGCCTGGCCGGGGGGGGGTTGGGGGGGCGGTGTCCCCTCTGTGTCCCGAAGGGCCACCCCCTAATGGCTTTGGGGGCCACTCCTCCGCCCATTGGCTTCCAGGCTGTGGGTGATTTTGAACTGAAGTGTGTGTCCCGTGGACATTAGCTTCCATTCAGTGCGTTTTGCTCAGTTCCTGCGAGCAGGTCGTTCGGGGGAACTGGGATTTTTCTAGAGATTTACTCCTCATTCATGTTGTATCTGCTCCCAGTTAGGGTTTAATAGCACGTTACTGGAGCCTTTAAAACTGGCCGTCCGATGACACCGGCCTTTCACCTGGGGTCCCACTAAGAATGCGCCATGAAGGAGCCGGAGCCTTTGCCGCAAATGCGTTTGAAACTCAGAAAATTGGACTTTCAGATACTCCCGAGACCTCAAAAAAAATAAATAAATAACCCCGCACACCTCGCAGCAGTGTTTTAATTGATATGCAACAAAGTAGACTTTGCTAATTAAAACCAAGATGCCGCCTTGGCTACAGGGACCTTTACACGGAAAAGGAGGTTTTACACGGCTCTTTATTGTTCAGCTCAGCGGCGGCCTCCGCGCCGGGTTGGAGGTTGGTGGCTTACGGTTCAAAAAAAGAGAGAGCTGCCAGCGGCCCGCAGACAGACAGCGGCCCGGTCCCCGAGACGCCCCCGGAATACTGATCAGGGGCGCCGGGCCCCGGAGGTCAGGGAGCGCGTCAATCAGCCCGCGGCCGGCTCCGCGCGGAGCATCAAATTAGCCTGAAAAATTCAGCTGCCGGGAGGCGAGGGCGCGCAGCTGTCAGGCCCGCGCCGGGCGGCACTAATGAAGCAGATGAATAGTGCAGGAGCTGGAAAATAAAAACAGGACAGTTGACATTTTTCATCTGTCAGAGCAGGAGACGCGTGAGAACACACCGTCCCTGTTAACCCCCGAGGGCCCGCGGCTCCGTCCTGCGCGGAGCCCCTGGCGCAGGCGTGCGGGCTCTTCCCGTGGACGGAGCTGTTCGCAAACCCAGCCCCGTCTGCAATGGCCTATTTTATCAGAAAGTGTCCTTGCATTTATTTAAAATATATTCTTATTGATGTCAGAGAGGAAGGGAGAGGGAGAGAGAGAGAGAGAGAGAGACATCCATGATGAGAGAGAACCATGGATCGGCTGCCTCCTGCACATCCCCCACTGGGGATCGAGCCTGCAACCCGGGCATGTGCCCTGACCAGGAATCGAACTGGGGACCCTTCAGTCTGCAGGCTGACGCTCTATCCACTGAGCCACACCAGCTGGGGCTGTCCTTGCATTCTTAACACAAAAACACGTGATTCTGATTGGAGCCCCTCTTTTAGAAATCTCCTCCCCATGGGGTGTTCTCCGTGATCGGGGACATTGAGATCCCCCCCTTCCCTCTCCCCGGGAGCTGTTCGAGGTGTTTGTGTAGGACCCTGGGATTGTACGTAAGATGCAGGCTGGGCCTCCCGTCTGCAGCTGGGCCTCCGGGCCGCCCTCCTGCCCAAGGCACCGAAGGGGTTAAAGCCGGGCCCCGCAGACATGAGAGCGTTGGGCGTGGCGTCCCCCGACGCTCCTGAGTGCACAGCACGGACAAGCGTGTCTCACACGCACCGCCTGTCGGGGGTGCACGCCTTGTCCTCCGAGCTCGCGATTAGCGGTGGGAAAGGGGTGACTGGCTCGGGCAGCCCGCGCCCGTGTCCTCGCTGCTGCGCCTCCGGCGCCACGAGGCTGAACGGGACGCGAACATTCGAACACTCGAAAGGGTGTTTGAGTTTGTAGCCTGCTTCCCGCGTCCTCGCGTGCACTCCAAATGCCAGCCCAGAGCCCTGGCTGGGAATCAGTTTGAATTCAATCATGTCTTTAAAAGTTGTTCATTCCTTGAGTTTTTTTTTTTTTTTTGCATTAAAAATGTCACTTGGATGCCTGGACTTGGTGCCTGTGAGTCATAGAGCTTTTGAACATAGTCAGTGGTTTTTTGAGATGCTTCCAAAGGGAAAACAGCTCCAGGTCACTGCAGATTGAGGGTCAGGTGGGGGCTCGGGTGGGGACCCTCTTCCACAGAAACGATGATGTGAGAGCAGTGCCCACGTTCTCCTCCCTGAGCCGCTGCTGGAGACAGTTCAGCGTTAGCTCAGCTTTGTGTTTGTCATATTCCGGCCGTTACCTGTTCCATCTAGACCAGCGGTTCTCAACCTGTGGGTCGTGACCCCTTTGGCGGTCGAACGACCCTTTCACAGGGGTCGCCTAAGACCATCCTGCATATCAGATATTTACATGATGATTCATATCAGTAGCAACATTACGGTTATGAAGTAGCAACGAAAATAATTTTATGGTTGGGGGTCACCACATGAGGAACTGTATTGAAAGGGCCAGAAGGTTGAGAACCACTGATACAGACCATCGGGGTCTGTTTAGTCATGAGGTAATACTAGCTGCTTTGATGGCCACTAGTTACAACGAATTTCAGTTTACTTTATGTCCTTTTTCTTGTTGCGTTGTACATGTATATACGTAAATATATGATAACCATTTCTCCCTTTTAGGGGATTTTAAATGTGGAAAACAAACAACCAAACATTGAAGTAAGATTTCTAGAGGTTCCCAGAGAATGGCCAGGAAGGGGTGCCCGTGAGAAGCAGAGGCCTCACTGTGAGGGTCTGTCCCTGTGTCCGACCCGGGTAGCGCCGGGTGGGTCCCGGGAAGCGGCCTCTGACGACCTGGGTCTCCCGGGCTTTTGCAGATGGCCGCCCTGCAGAGCCCCTTCTACGGCGACAAGATGAACCTGTACTCGCTGTGCAAGAAGATCGAGCAGTGCGACTCCCCGCCGCTGCCTTCCGACCACTACTCGGAGGAGGTGAGTGCTCCGCCGCGCAGCCGTCCACCCGTCCGTCCGCCTGCTCGCCTGCATTGGCGCTGCCCGAGGGACGCGCCCTTCCCCAAACACACGGCTGCCCGTGCAGGCGGCAGAGGCGGCCCTTCTCACCGTTACAGCCCCTGGAGACTCCTGAACACAAAAACACGTGATTCTGATTGGAGCCCCTCTTTTAGAAACCTCCTCCCCATGGGGTGTTCTCTGTGCTCGGGGACATTCAGATTCCCCCTTCCCTCTCCCTGGGGAGCTGTTCGAGGTGTTTGTGCAGGACCCTGGGATTGTACGTAAGATGCAGGCTGGGCCTCCCGTCTGCGGCTGGGCCTCCAGGCCGCTCTAAGTTGTGTCTAAGTTGACCCTGCGATTCGTGGATGGAGTGGTGTAGACGCGGCCACTTGGGCTGCGATGGGACCCGCCTGGGGCAGTCAGGGCTCAGCCCGGCTCAGGCCCAAGCTGCTGGTCCCGTGTCCGTGTGTCCACATGTCCCCAGGCCCTTCTTCATGGGGCAGCTCTGCCCTCCCTCACCCTCAGCACTACAGGCAACCAGAACTTTCCTCTTAAGCACAACCCCCTCCTGTCGTGTCTTCCCAGAACAGAAATGGGCGTCTCGGCCACGTGTCCCTCAGCCT